ATCTTTGCAAATACCTGTACTGAGTATTTGCTGTCAAAAATATATTTACCGGTCCATCCTAAGGAGTAGAACTTTCACTATTGCCCTTATTTCTCCCAACTGTACTGATCCTCCGTGGGGGTCTACATGGATCCTATCTTCTTCTGTTGAGGATTTGATCACTATTCCAACCAGTGACTTGTTGGCCTCCATAAACACACACAGTGCCATGGGTATAGGTTGATTAGCAGGGAAAGCATGTTTTGGATAGTCTATTTCTAACGTTTGTAACAAGTGTCTGGAGTAGCCTGTCCACTGGCAGGTGATTGTCAACCTGTCCTGGGAAATTTATCATTAAAGTTTGAAAGAGCGTGCTATTCTGCATCAATGTGGACAGTTCTAATTGTGATAGTGGTAGAACCACTATGTCTGGCTCTGTGTTAAATATCTTGTTGGCATAATATCTTAATTTAAGTCCCATCATAAGGAGGGCATCTACTTTGTCAACTATTTTACATCACTCGCTCCAGGCTGTGTGCACCCAAAAAAGTGGTCCGTGTTGTTGCCAAATAACTCCTAAGGGGGCCCTGAGGGTAGATATGGTTATGGCAAATAGAGGCACCCGAGGGTCATATCTAAAGGTTTTAAAATGTGACAACTGGGTGTTGATCTTTTCTATAGTGGGTTTGGCTGCTGGTGTCCATGTGATTTTTGAAGAAGGGCTGTTCCCCTCAGTCAGTAAATCGTGTAACAGTCTAAGTTCTGCAGGTGTTAGGGGAAGGAAGGGCTTCAGCCAATTGATAGGGCACATAGTTGCTGATGTTCATTAAGTGAGTATTTATGCTTGACTTTTAGGTTTGGGCCCATTGGAGATATATGGGAGGAGATTTGATAAGCCAGGAATTGAAAGGGAGGAAAATGTTGTACCTTTTCTGCGGCAATAGACAAACCCAGGAATTGTAAATGTCTTACTGTCTCACTTAGACAGGCCTTCAGAGTTGCTGCATTCTCGTGAGCAAGTAAGATCACCCACACAATGCATGACCAAGCTCTGATCTTCAAGTGTGCTGCTCGCATGGGAACCGTGTCTTTGGCAAATGGCTGGGCTATTTTTCAGGCCTTGTGGGATACTGTCCACTGGAATCTTTTTGCAGGGAGCTGGGAATTGGGCTCCCAGACTGTAAAGGCAAAGTAAGCCTTATCCTGCTCTGCAATGGGAATGGAGAAGAAGCAATCTTTGATATCAATGGTAGCTATGTGGTCTCCGTTAGGAATGGCCCCTGGAGGGGGAATGCCAGCCTGGAATGTTCCCATCTTTTTTATATTTTTGTTAATAGCTCTCAAATCCTGTAGTAGCCTACATTTTCCCTGTTTCTTTGGTATCACAAAAGTGGGTGTGTTGTAAGGGCTAGTGGAGGGCTCTATGTGTTCCTTTTCCAATTGTTCCTGCACCAATTCTCTAAGGATGCCAAGTTTGGGTTGTATTATTGACCACTGCTCTAGCCAGATGTTTCCTGTTTTTTTTTTTTTCCCATTCAATGGGGATTGGCCTGTCTTTTGTATGAGGTGAGCAGTGGCCCCTAGAATTGGGGGTGAATCTTACTTGTAGGCTCTCCATTAAAGTTGTTGGCTTGTGGAGATTTGTGATCCGTGGTTAGGACCGTTTGCATGTGTGAGAGCACATCTCTCCCCCATAAGGTCGTGGAAACCTCAGCAATTAGTGGAAAGATGGTTCCCGCATCTCCATTGTCCTCTCTCCACGTTACAGGCGTGATGACCTGACCAGCCAATTTTTAATCCTCCACACCTTGGAGGTCGGGCCCGGGCGCTGTCTTCCAATGTTGCATTTTTCTTGCAGCCCTAGCTTTTAAGACAGTGGCATCTGCCCCCATCTCAGTTAAACCCACAAAGGCAATGCCATCTGAGTATAGGGCCAATTTTGGCCTCAGATTGAAGATAGGCATTGACCAGTTAACGGTGGTGGGACTCCCTCTTGCTGGGCTGAGGGCCGCCCTATGGGAGTTTAAAGGCTTGATCTTACAACCTTTGGCCCAATGAAAGCCTTGTTTACATCTGGGACACAGCCTTTTGGGCTGGCCCCGTCTGTCAGCGTTTGGGCAGTTTTGCTGTAGGTGTCCCGTTTCCTGACATCCCCAACAAGCTGGGGAGTCATTAGACTTCCTTGTGTTCAGTGTGTTAATGGCTGCAGTCAGGGCCTGTATGGGAGTATCGGCAGGGTTGACCTCCTTTGTGGCTGCTATCCATGTAGAAATGTCTTCAGTACGGACGGGGGCGATTGCAGCTTTTGCCTCCTTGGTAGCACCTTCCCAAACTAATTGTTTGACCAAATTGTCTTGATCGGGGCCAGGCGGTAATCTTTTCTCTACTGCCTCCAAGACTCTGGCGAGGAAATCAGGGAACCATTCGCCTGGGCCTTGAACTAGGTTTCTAAAGAGCTGACTATAATTAGGGGGATTTATATTTTTTAAGGCCCTAAGTGCCGAATCTCTGACCTGATCAAAATAGGCAACTACTCCAATGCGGGCCTGTTCCTGAGGATATATGTAGGTGCCGCGGCCTGTAAGCTCATCAGAGGTCACTGCTATTCCATAGGCAGCATCATTCCTTGCCACAGTTTCAGCCTCTTCCTGAGAGGAGGCTTTCCACTGTAAGAACTGGGGTCTCGACAAACACGCTTTGAGCAGTGCAACCCAGTCAAAATGAGTTTGAAGGGTCACTGCCCATGCTGTGAGCACCTGTTCAAAGTAGGGCGAGTCGGGGCCTGACTCCCGAGAAGCCTTGTTTAGCATAGTGAGGTCACTTATGGGCGTTGGGATCCAGGGCCTGAATCCTGTGTCCGCTCCTACATTGACGGCAAACATGCGGGTGGGATGGGTCTAGCAGTTGCCCTGAGAGCCTGGATGGGGATGTCAAAACGTGGGTCACTTCTGCCCGGGGACTGCCACAAATGTGGGGATCCTCACTGGGTGTGGGTGGGATGACCTCGCATGGGTTATTATTAACTGGAGGTCGTCTAAGTTCATCCCACAGGTATGTGGGGGTGGCTGACCAGGCATTGCTGCGTTGTCTGCTGTCATGTCATTGTCACCGTGGGAGCTCTCTCTCCCTAAGTCATCAACTGTTGCCTGTGAGACAGACACCTGGAGTGTCAGGCTCTTAGCACTCACAGATTCACTGTGTTTAGTAATCTGTGTGGGCTGCTGAGAGGGGGGTATCTCTCCCACGTCTGAGCGCTTAAGAGCGGCACGCCACGCCAACTCTAGTCAAAGGAAAGACACGCACAGCACTGCTGCCAGAACAAAGCAAATTCCTAGCCCTCAGCGGCTGATGGCATTCTGCAGGGTTCCCTACGTTAGACGGACAGTGGTGTGTCAGGTCGTCCGTATGTCCTGTGCTTAGTGGGGGACTTCCTTGGTTCCTTAGGTCAAGCCGTGTGCCCACACGGTGACTCCGGGGCGTCACCTCTCTCAAGTGAGGGAAGATGACTTGGTCACGAATTCTGGGAATGATCAGTCCCTTATGTGAATTTGCCGGGCGAACCCAAAGTAAAAGGGGGAGCCGAGAAGCGACATAAGCTTCTGGGCGGTGTGTGCCTAACCTGGGGTCACTTAGACCGAGGACAAGGACAAGGAAAGGGGCGTAGGAGGGGGTTCTGTGCTCACCTCACAGAACCGGACAGCACACAAAACACTGAGGGGCCTTCTTGCTGAAATCCAGGGGGGACCTCACCGAGTCCGACACACTGTCTCTCTCAGTCACGTTGGCGCCAGATGTTGAGGTGGATTTGTTTCTGGGAGGAGGAGTGTGGTGGGGGCAAGAGGCATGAAGTCACCACACAGACCCCGGCAGTCGGGTGAAAGCAGGCCAGAGGCGGGCAGCCCACACACTCATTTATTTCAGTTGGTACAGCTGCTTATATAGCCAAGGCAGCCAATCCGGTCAAGGGGCGGTCTATGCCCTAACCAATCACAGCCTGTTGCCAGTCACGCTCTGTTGCCAGGCAGTTTCTGAAATCATCCAATCACAGCCTGTTGTCAGTCAGGCTCTGTTGTCATGTGGTTTCCGAAGCCATCCAATCACAGCCTGTTTCCAGGCAGTTTCTGTTGTCAGTGGCCGTCTTGGCATGGCCTTCTCACCTTCTCATTCCACCACACCACGGGTCTCAGATGGCCAACCCGGATGCCTTCCTGTCCAGGCACAGACAGGCTCAGTGTACACGGCCTTGTGAGAGCGATGCTGCGGTGCTGGCCAGTCCCGGGAGACAGGCCCCCCAGGTCGCGTTTGGGGACGTCAAAACGTGGGTCACTTCTGGATGGGCTTTTACAGCCGTTTCATAATGGCCGTGGCGTCAGGAAGGTCTCCCGGGGCTGTGCCCGGCTCCCCCGGCCTTGACTCCCCGTCAGAGGCCTGGGCTGCACCTGCCTGCCTGCAGCCTCCCACAAACCGCTTCACTGCTCTGAGCCTCAGCTTGCTCATCTGTAGAATGGGCATGACTTTAATTCGCACTGCCTCGCTCATCTCAAGGGAATGAGAGGCAAACCCAAAGACACCATGGCTCCCCAGCACCTTCCACACCGTCGCGCGTGGCTCTGCCCCTTGCTGCTGTGGGAACTCAGGAAAAGTTGCCACGAGTGGCAGCCTCGCCTGCTCTCGCCTGTAAAACGGCAAGAATAATATTCTGCACTGCAGAGTGGCCGCGATCCCGAAAGGAAGCGTCGCGGGAGGAGCGCCCAGCCCTGTGCCTGCCCTCCACGTGGACTACGATGTAGCTAGAGGCCGCAGTTTTTATTAAGATTCTTGCGTGGCCTGCGGAGTCCTTCTGTGCAATTCCCCTCGCGAACGCCAGAGGGCGACCTAGACGGCAGCACGCCCGCCACACGCACCCCGGGCGCAGCGCCGTCGTCGGCCGCGCGGTGGCGCTAGGCCACAGACGGTGCGCTCCCCGCAGCGCAGAGCGCACGCCGTCGCCATGGAGCCGTGATGCGGGCGAGGGGCGGGGGGCGGAGGGAGGGAGGCCCCGGTGACGTCCGCGCTGCTCGCGGCCCCGTCTCCTGCGGCCTCCCGCTCCTTGCCTATTTTGGAAGAGATGCTGATGCGCGCGCGCTGGCGCCTTTTTAAGGCAACCGGCGGAGTGGCGGCTCCGCCAGAGCCCGCGCGCTGCCCCCGCCCCCGAGCGGCGAGCCCGGCGCGGGGCCCGGGCCCGGGAGCCCCCGGCGGCGTCCGCCCCATCCCCCGCCCCTAGTGCCCTCGGCCCCCCGTGGGCCCCCTCCGGCCGCCGGGACACGAGGGTGGGGGGCTGCCCCGCGCCCCTCGCCCCCTCCCCCTAGGAGCCCCGCGAGGAAGTTCGGGGACCCTCTCTGGACCAGGTGAGGACGGCAGCAGCCTCGGGGCTCCCCGGGACTCGGAGCCCACCTGTCTTCAGCCCAGCCCTCACCTTGCTCCCCTCGGGCCCAGTCTGGAGCCAGATCACGACCCTAGGGAAAACCGGTCCACCCTTCTCCTTAAACTGGAGCCTGCGGGAAGAGCCGTGATTGGCTCGGGCCAGTGGCCACTTCCCGGACAAGCAGGGGCCAGAGCCCGGTGGGGGGCCGGGGAGGTCAGTCCCCTGGGCCTCAGTGGTGAGGGGAGCTGGCACAGGGACCTCCCTGGCCCTGTCCCGCACCCCAGGGCGCCCGGCGGCCTCCCCCCGACCCAGTGCGCTTCGGGCTCGATGGCCACCCGGACAAACTCGAGGATCCTGTGGACGCCGTCACCGACCAGCCGCTGTGCCCCGCTCTGCTTCCATCGAAGGCTTCCTGCAGCCCGGCTGCTCTCTGGAACCCCACTTTGCCCAGACGTCAGAGTGTGCACCTCGGGGTGGAGGTGTGGCTGCTGGGCCCCTGCAGGGGCTCCGTGGACCCAGCCCCCCGGAAGCCTGCGTTCTCCCTCCATCTCGGGATGTGCCCAGGAGCGCTGGGAGGTGCCTGGCGTTCCCAAGGAGCTGTGGGGGGGGGGGGTCTGGACGTCTCTGGGCCCCTGCTCTGGACGAGGACTGGGGATCCAGAGGCGGACCCGATCCAGCCCAGCACCTGCGGGCTCCGTGTCTGCGACAGCTCGCCCTGGAGCCTTGAATGGCACTTGCCAAGGACACCGTAGCCAGGCGGAGCACAGATGCGCAGGAGTGGAGACTGAGGCACCCTCGGTGAGACACGATTCGCCAAAGCCACACGGCAGCCCGGGGCCACGCCCCCAGCCCCGCCTCCTGCCCGGCACCTAGACCAGGGCTCAGTCCTCGGTCAAGTTCCCTGCGCCAGGAGCCAAGGACCTGGTGCGGTGGCCGTGTTGGCTGTGTCCCTTGGTCACCTCCTCCCCTGCTCTGATGACCTCTCAGGGGCCCCCACTCCAGCCCTGGGTCTGGGGTCCTCAAGCCCGGCCCTGGGGCCCCTCCGTGTCTGGCTGGGAGACCCCGGTGAGGGGCGTCTGCCTCCCGCCAGATGGAAGCCAAGGATGACAGCCACAGGCAGTGTGGACGACTTTGAGGATGCCCTGGGGGTCTGTCTCCTGCACCGCGGAGCCCACCGGAGCCCTCCCACGGTGAGTCCCCTGCTGCACTCGGCACCGACAGTGAGAGTGGCCGCTGCGGGCTGGTGTCCCCGCGCCCCTGTCTGCACACGGCCCAAGGTGGCTCTGCTCCCCGGGGCTGAGGCCTCAGGCCTCCGGGAGACTTAGGCCTACGTGGGCCTGGAACTGGGCCTCAGAGTGCCGGGCGCTGGCCTCAGAGATGCTGGGCGCTGGAGGTGCCCTGGCCCTCTGCAGAGAAGGGGCTGTGTGGGGACGCCCCCCACAACAGGAGGCTGGTAGCAGGGCAGGACTGGAGCCCACGGGGCCTGAGCGCCCCCCCAGCCCGGGACTCCTGCCGCCTCCTGCACGCTGACCCCCGATGGAGCCCACTCCCCTTCTCCCTGCACCCTCCACACCTGTCTGGGCCTCAGGAGCTCCCATGCCCCTGGAAGGAAGAGCCCCCTCCAAAGCCTCCTGGCACCCCTCCCCCACACACTTCCCGGTTCCAGAAGCCACCCCACCCCTGGGCTGCAACCCCTGCCCCCGCTTCCTGCGCCGGGGTGGGGGTCCTTGTTCTCCCTGCCCTTGGGGGTCTCTTCCCCCTTTCTCCTAGGCTCAGGCTTTCTGGTCATCTCTGATCACCGGCCTCTAACAGTCTCTCTGGGGGCCGCCCACCCTGTCCACTTCCCCGGGTGGGGGTGTCCCCTGAGGAAGCCCCTCTGTTGGCCCAGGCAGTGGGAGGAGTCACAGGTGCTGTGAGCTCTGACTGAGAGGCTGGCGTAGCAGGCGCGGGTGAGGCTGCGTCTGGCTGTGGCCTCCGTCGCAAGGTCGTGCACGTGACACAGGGAGACGCTGGAGGCGGGGGCCTCGCGCGGCCGAGGCGTTGCTGGGCACGAGGGGAAGGCAGGAGGCGCCACCAGGAGGGCATCTGGGTCACGGGAGTCACAGGAGCCAAGGGGCCGCTACCCTGCGGCAGGAAGTGGTTAGACGGCTTCCAGAAACCTGCTGAGGGACCTTGGCTGCTGAGCCCGTGGGGCCTGGCCTGGGCTCTCCACCCCTGACCTGGGGGAGCGAAGTGGATGCCTGCTGATGGCCAGGGAAGGGCTTCCCAGGGACCCCAGCCAGGCCTTTAGCACCCCGTGTCTCCCTCCACTCCCCCCCCCCCCCGTCGTCTCCACCCTCCTCTTTGGAATGGCTGCACCCCTGCCTGGCCTAGCCCATAGGTGGCTCAGAGCAAGCCAGCCCCAGGGCTGTGGGGGGAGGCCCTGCTTCCACACTGGCCGGGCCAGGGCCGGTGCCATCGCCCGTGGCAGCCCATGCCCTCCTGGCACAGCCTGGTGTGGGGTCCTAGTTCTCGTGAAGTCAAAATAGTGGGGACCCGGCCGGCGCCGTGGCTCACTAGGCTAATCTTCCGCCTAGCGGCGCCGGCACACCGGGTTCTAATCCCGGTCGGGGCACCAGATTCTGTCCCGGTTGCCCCTCTTCCAGGCCAGCTCTCTGCTGTGGCCAGGGAGTGCAGTGGAGGATGGCCCAAGTGCTTGGGCCCTGCACCCCATGGGAGACCAGGAGAAGTACCTGGCTCCTGGCTCCTGCCATCGGATCAGCGCGGTGCGCTGGCCGCAGCGGCCATTGGAGGGTGAACCAACGGCAAAGGAAGACCTTTCTCTCTGTCTCTCTCTCTCACTGTCCACTCTGCCTGTCAAAAAAAAAAAATAGTGGGGACCCGTGTCCCCCCTCCCTGGCTCCTCCCTTGAACGCGCTTACTTCTTGTAGCAGCCCCTTGAGACGGGGCGGTTCCTCTCCTCGAATCTCGGTGGAACAGCCGCCAAACCGAGCCGCAAGAGAAGTCACGTGACCGTCCGGTTCTAACAGTCACTCTGCATTGCTTTAACTGAAACCCCCAGAGGAGCTTCTTGGGGAAGAAAAAGTTAGCTTTGGCTTGGAGGTGCCAGTTCAGCCTTGGGCAGCCGTGTGCTCAGGGGTCCCTGGAGGCTGGACACAGTGGGTACAGAGGAGCGACCACGTGGAGAGCCAGGAAGGAGAGAGAGAGAGAGAGAGAGAGAGAGAGAGAGAGAGAGAACAGCAGGCGGAACTTGAGCTCCAACACGAAACCTCACTGACCCAGGGCACGGCCCCCAGGGACCTGAACCCCGCCCACCACTCCCACCTCTCGGGCGCCACCTCCAGATCAAGTCCATCCTTAATCCGTCAATACTGAGGCATTGGCATTGGTCCTACTGAACCCGCAACACCCATGGCGCAGAGGCGGGCTGTGAGGGGTGCAGGACCCGGCCCAGAGCCTCTTCCAGCCTCGCTCAGCTCTGCCGCAGCCCCAGGACCAGACCTGCTCCCGCTGCCTCCCCACGGCCCTCCAAGTGCCTCAGGACGTCAACCATGCCCTGCAGGCCGCCTCTACCCCTTCGGACTTTGTAACGTTTCTGACAAATTCTTAGGGTGCACCTTATTCCACGCGGAAGGGTGCACGGTGAGCAAACAGACCCAGTCCCGCCTGGTGGCTGCAGTGTGGGGGCAGGGACGGGAGACCATCAGCCACCAGAATAAAGTGTGGCATAGCTGTCACTGTGACGAGTGCTCACAGAGGCTCGGGGTGCCTGGTGACCCATAGTGGGGACTCGGCCTTGCCAGGGAGGCCAGGGAAGGCTTCCTGGAGGAGGTGACATCTGAGCTGAGATCTCTAGGGAACAGGGGGTGAACAGCGCCCCCCCCCCAGAGGAAACGGCGTGTGCAAGGCCATTGCGAAGGGAGGGGGAATGCAGGGGCAGCAGTGAAGGAGGCGCCTGTAGCTGGGGGGGGGGGGGTGGTGCGCACGAGGCCAGGCAGGCTGGGGTCAGCACAGCCAAGACTCGGGGAGGGGTCTGGTCATTCCTCGTGGCTCCCCGTGGCCCCTCACCACAGCTTCTCCACTCAAGGCTGGGCCTGGGCACCTTCATCTGGGTCCTGTCCTGGCACAACTCCGGGGGCCAGACCTCCTGGGCCAGGTGGGGAGTCAGCCCATTTAGCACCACCTGCCCCCGGCACACACGTGGATACGGCCGGCGGCGGGGCTTACCATGCGGAGCCCACGCTCAGTCCATGGCGCCCCAGCCACCCACCCTACACAGCAAACCCAGCCAGCAGGGTCCTTGCCGCCCTGCCCACTCCCTGGGCCGGGTCATCCTTTCTTCCCACAGCGAGGGACGCCAGCCTGGACAGAGGCCTCACTTTCCCACCAGGCTGGGGGCACCGAGATGCGGCCAGGCCTGTACGCTCACCACACTGTGCCACCGCTGAGCCTGGCGCACGCTCAGCCCTCACGTACAGTTCCCCACGGGCCTCGCATCCCTGAGCCCCTGCCCCTGCCCCTGCCGGCCCTATAACACAGAGCCCCGGTGTGGCCGCTGGTGGGGGATGCCAGCAAGTGGAGGCAGTGCAGGGGGACAGGCTCAGGGATAACTGGGGCGGGGGTAGTGCACCAGCTGGGGAGGGGCTCTGACGACGTGTGGAGGGTCTGTCTCCTAGTGCGGACCCCTAACTCCCTGAGCACGGGGCCCAGACCCTCCACTCCTGCCTTCCACTGCGTGCGGAGGAGGCTGGGTCCCCGGTCTGCATTTGAAAGTGATTTTTGGATTTTGTGAATTGATTTTTCTTCCTCCCTTGGAGCATGGCTGGTCTAACAGGCTCCCTGCCCAGGAAAGCTGTTTCTTTCCCCTCATTGGCTGCACACCCACCAACCGCCATGGCTCCGCCCCCTCACCCGGCTCTGACCGCCTCCATGTGTGGGTGCCAGCGTACCCTCTTCACATGAGACTTGTTGATTTCATAACCATAAATAGATGAAATGTTCTGAATGCTTCCATGTGCGAGAGGCGTTGAGGAAGTGAACGCGTAATGAAAAGGCCTTAGGAGAGAGCAGAGCCTGCCAGGAGGCAGTGCGGACCAGCGGGGGCGCGGGCTGATGTGTGCTTGGACCTGAGTGGTCAGCGCCCCCGACGCAGACCTGGGGGACCTGCTGAAGGCCTTTGCATGGTTTGAAACCCATCAGTTCAAAGGAGCAATGGTTCAAAAGAGCAATCCAGTAAAACCGACAAGGAAGCAGAAGTCGGAATCTCCGCTTTCTGGGTTTATCTAGTTCTAGCTGTGTGACCCCGGCCAAGGAACTCAGCCATCCTGAGACAGTGTGCAGAGCTTCTTGCCTGGGTTAGACTGCAGGCTCCAGGAAGCCAGAGGCCCCGGTGTGGCCCCATTTTGCTTCCATAAGGAAAGTTTGTCTTCCAGACAATATCGCTCTCGCCCACCATGGGTCATCCCCTCTCCCCAGAATGGAGCCCTGAGGGGCAGGGTTGCGGTGGGCATGTCGTGGGGGGCCCTGCCTCTCCATGATGGCTGTGTTGCTATGGAAACAGGATGCAGAGCATCACTTCTGCCTGGGGTGCTGCATCTCCACGGCTACAAACAGGCTAGAAGCTAATCGGAGACTGTCGCAGGGGGCTTCCCAACCTCCCCCTCCTTAAGGCGCCCCATGGCATTCGAACAGTAAAGGGAGGAAAAATAACAGTTTGCTACATCCTGGCCTAGAGAGCTTTCTGAGTGAGAACAAGAGAGAAGCGAGTGGAGGTGCTCATGGGGAGGTGCTCTTCTCCGAGCATGGCCAGGGTAGAGGGTCAGTTAGTACCTGCAGCCACTTGGCTCTGCCCCGTGGAGGGAGCACAGCCACGGACGATGGCAAACCAGTGGGTGCGGCTGTGTCCCAGAGAGACTCAACTTACAAAAAGAGGTGCGAGTCAGAGTGTGCCCTGTGACACAAGGGAACCAGCCTGGGCTGGGCGGCAGGAGCTAGGTGCCAGGCTAAGCATTGCCACTGACTTGCTGTGTGCCTTGGAAGCCGTTGTCCAATCTCTGAGCCTTCATCTAGCAAGTGACACCCCATCAAACCTGAGTTTCCCCTTCTAGCAATTGAGCATCGTGGCATCAGTCAGACAGGTCGTAAGAATCTGCGAGGTCAGTAAATCTGAAGTCTTGTGATCCCCCTGTGGGGAGCTGCACCCCCAGCCGGTCCCACCGCTTGTCTGCTGAGGGGGGCAGCAGCCCGCCAGAGGGGGAGGCGTCTCTCTCCAGAGTTGGGTTCTTGGTCTGTCTGTCCAGCCTCCAGCCCGTTTCTGTTGCAAGCTGAGCGCAGGAGTAAACGAGGAATCCCTTCCTTTCCACCACCCGGCCACTTGGCAGGAGGCTGCAGTTCACTTGAGAGAGTGATGTGGCTGCAGTGGCCGGGGGCCAGGCTTTGGAGGAAACCTTTGGGACTTGGGCCGGGACGAGAGCTAGGACACGTGACCACCAGCGCTCCCCTGGCTCATTCGCCTATGACCTCAGCTGCTCCGGGTCCCAAGTCCAGAGGCCACAGCTGCATGCTGGTGGGGATCTGACCTGCCGCACCACCAGCTGCATGGAGGGGCCGTTGTCCCTCCATCTTGTCCGCCTGCCTGATCTGAGGACCCCTGAGAGCTTCACCAGTTGGCGTCTCGCCATCTTGGAAGCCCCATCAAGTCTTCACTCATTCATATCCTCTCTCCCCCCTTTTCTCTACTCCCTTCCTGCCTTTTTGTCACATTTTCTCCTTATCATAAAAGCGTTTGTCCGGAGCAAGACAAGACACACACTTTGACATCCCTCAGTCGAGATCCTGGCCCCAGAAAATCTCCAGGAACGTGGAGTCTCCGTGCGGTTCTGAAGAAGTGCATTCTCCATTCACCCTCCAGTGCCTCCCAGTGCCTCCTCCTCTCCTCGGAAATCTCTGGAAAGGACGCGGCTCTTCTCCAATCGAGGCTGAGGGTGATGTCCTCCGAGGTCCCTGAAAAACCCATGCAAGACAGAGGCAAGGGATCTCATGGCCTGTTCTTGCTATAAAAGGGCCTTTTTCGGAAAAAATAATAAAGAAAGGAATCAGCCAATCCCTCCTCGATGCCATCACCTCTTCTTGGTGATTTTTCGGGGAAGGAGTGGGCGAGTTGCCATGGCAACAGATGCGCGCTCTGCTCAGTAAAGAAGGGACCTTGATATTTTTTCTCTCTCATTCTCTCAGTTGTGTCTGTGTGTGTGTGTGCGTGCATGTGCGTGCTACACATGCCTGTGCCCACACCAAGAATTTTTTTTATTTAGAACTAAAGAAAGCCCTTCTCTTCTCTCAGCTCCCCAAATATGGAGTGATGGAAAACCACTTACTCCTGCAGGCCAGGGAGGATTCAGAATGGCTCCAGAGAAGGGGGGGGGCTCCTGTGGGGCTCCTTTCCTTCATGTTTTCTCGAGAGGATGCATGCAACAGAGCTTCGTAAATGCTTAGGGACCAAGGGCTGGAAATAGGGCAAAGATGCTGGGTGGAGAGTGCAGAGGACATGTGTGCACGAGCCCAGCGAGTGGCATCAGAGAGGGCACTGGGAGACACAGTGAGTCTGCAGAAGCCTGCAAATCCATCCACATACACCGTCAGATGCAGAGAGGAAAGGCCCGAGCAGACATGGACACACACACACACACACAGTGTAAACATAAATACATACAGACACAGCACAGGAAGTTGGAGACTTAAAAAAAAAAAGACTGGCCCAGATGCAGGCACAGACAAATGCATACTAATGCAGGGACATGGACAGAGACAGCTACACGGACACATAAACACGTGTAGGCAGACAGGCTCAGATGCAGACACACAGCTACATACATGGACAGTGACAGTCAAGTGAGCACACACACACACAGAGTCTGGCTCCCTCCCATCAACTGCCCAAATGCCCCCCCCGCCAGGGAGCACACTCACCTGGCAGATTTGGCTGGGGGGGCCTGCCTCCTCTGTTCCTTCTACACACTCACCCCCGATGCCCCTCTCCCCATTCATCCTTTTGCCCACATTCTCAGAGCCAGCGGGCTCTGACGCCTCCCCCATCCCAGGCTTCCAATTCTGTGCCTGTTCTGCCGCTGCTGCTGCCGCTGCCGCCACTTGGGGGGAGAGTGGGGTGACTCAGCCAGGCCAGGATGACTCACACTGGCAGTATTTTTAGCAGCGGCCAGGAGCTCTCTAGCGTGCCAGCCGCCCCCCTCCTCCTGCTTGCTATTTCGGAACCGTCACTGGTGATATAAATAGCTCCTCTCCCACGGCCTGAAGCTGCTGCCAAGCTATTTTTGGTTCTACACAGTTAAAAATAACTTGACGGAGGTGGGAGGCAAGGGGAGTGGGAGCTGGCCTGGAGAGAGGAGACATTGGGGCACAGAGAGCTTCTCAACTCGAACCGAGTGGGTAAACTAGGCTGAGCCCCCCCGCCCCTCCCTTGTCCCTCTGCAGACCCTTCTTCCCTTCTAAGGTGTCTGCTCAGTGCATTCTCCTGGAAACCCCAAGGTCTCTTCCCTCGAGCCCCGTTCCCCCCCCTCCTCTGCCCCTGCAGCCCGGAGCCTTTGCTCTTTGCAAGCCCCCCATTCATCCTCAGAGAAGGGGAAACCAAAGGGTTCCCTGAGGTCTGCGTGGACCCCAAGCCCTATTCTGATGCCCCAGGCAGGCCATAGCCAACCTGACTCCCAGGGTGGGTCTGTCAGGACCACGGACAGCAACCCGTGCCCTATTCTTTCCCTGGGAAGCTGCTCACCTTGCTGGAGCCAGGGCTGAACAGTAAAGATCAGACAGAGGTGAGAGGAACTGTCAGGGTTAGAAACAGTGGGAGAACCTGCTGACCCTAGGAAGCCCCCAACCTCATGTCACAAGATGGCAGGATAGCGCCCCCTAGCCATGCACCCCTCTTCTGAGGCACCCTTGTTCTCAGAGGCCTCTTCCCCTCCCACTCTCCCTTGAAGAGCGGGAGACCTTGACCTCAACATTTTCTTCTTGGTGTCAAAGTTCGGCTCCACTCTTCCTGTGTAGCTTCCTACTAAGAGGCTGGTCTCACATCCCCGTTTTTTTAAGTGGCCTAATTTCCAGGCCCTCAAACGATTTTATGCACACCCCCCAGCCCATCAAATGATATTTCAGGTAACAGATATTCCCTAGCCCACTGCCTCTGCCTTTGTGGGACACTATGGAAAAGAAAGCCCCCACCCCACCCCATGCGCGCCCCGGGCGCCCACCGCAGAGATCAATCACCTGTGTTGAAAAGAGATCGATACAAGGGGGGCGCCAGGGCCAACGGAGACAAAGCCTGACGGCGAGAGGCGGGGGGTTAGGGGACGCACCACGCTGAGCGAGATACCAGGCACCCAGTGAGACGGACTAGAGATAGCGAGGAATCCCGGCAGAAGACGGGGAGGGGGTCGGGGACAGAGAGGAAGGCAAGCAGCCTGGCGGCGTTGGAGGGTCCCCGGCGGGTGCAGGGGTCACGGAGGGTCCCCCCGCCCAGCACCCTGGCTTCTCTGCAGCTTCCCCATCTTCGCCGCCGAGCCGGGGTGGGGGGGCGGGGAGAGCTCTCGGGAGGCTGCGGAGGCTGCAGGGCCCCGCCCGCTGCGCGCCGCGGCTGCCGCCGGAGGATTCCTGTCCTAATATGGAGCTGGGATTCCCCCGGCCCCGCCCCCGCCCCCCGGCCCGCGCGGAGACTCCAAGGCTGGTAACAGGGCGGGGGTGGCCGCTCGCTCTGGGGACCGGCAGCAGCTGGGAGGGGTGCCAAAGTGAGGATGCATATCCTCACGGTGCCCCGGGCCCCTGCCTCAGTTTCCCCCCTCGGCGGCTGAGATGAACGAGTTGACAGGGGAGGGAAGCATCGGTTGAGGTCCCTGTTCACGACTGTGGGGAACTGGAAGCAGGGCCAAACCTTGCTGGTCCCCCTCCCACAGGACCCCCGTTTGCGCACCATGAAGGGACATGGTTCCTTGTGGAGCCCCTGATACACTGCCAAGACTAGGGTTGGGGGACAGGGCAGGGGGATTGCTCTGAAAATGGCCAAGGGAACCCCAGATGGTGCAGTCCCCAGAGGGGAGCCCAGCTGTGACCCACTCCCCAAAGGCCAAGGAAGGTCCGCCATCCCTGCACGTGAACGCAACCTTTGGTAAACAGCAGGGGAGTGCGGACAACCCTGCAGCCCCCAGTCCCTTATCTCCTCCGAAACCTCCGTGGGGGTACCAGCATCTCCCTCCCTCCCTCCCTGGACTATCCCGCCGGGGCTCCCAGTGTCCTAGCCATGGCCGCGTCCCTTCCTCGCAGCCTGGGTCCCCACGCGCCCTTGCAGTCTTTCGGAGCGCAGCGCGCGCCTCCCTGCTCCGCTCCCGCCGGCGCGGCCCCCTCCGCAGCTTCTCCCCCGTCCCCCTCTCCCCCCCCCCCCGCTCTCGGTCCACGTCACGCGATGACGTTGGAGCCAGGGAGGGAGGAGGAGCCCCCCCGGCCAGCGGCTCCCGCTGCAGCTTGCTTAGCCCAGCCTATCGCTTTCTAGCCCTCCCCACTCCAAAGCGAGCCCCCCACGCCTGGCAGGAGCTATATAAGGCGGAACGAGGCAGGCGAGGGGGCAGCGCAGCCGAGCAGAGCCCAGGAGAGGAGAGAGGCTGAGCGAGAGCCGGGCAAGCAGGAGGAGCAGCCGGGCGTCGGGACGGGCGGCAGGTGTCGGGGCGCCGAGCTGGGACTCCGCAGCCGGCATCATGTACCGCTCCACCAAGGGCGCCTCCAAGGCGCGCCGCGACCAGATCAACGCCGAGATCCGCAGCCTCAAGGAGCTGCTGCCGCTGGCCGAAGCGGACAAGGTCCGGCTGTCCTACCTTCACATCATGAGCCTCGCCTGCATCTACACTCGCAAGGGCGTCTTCTTCGCTGGAGGTGAGCAAGCTGGGGCGACCGGAGACAGGGGCACGGGAGGGATCCTCTGGGATTGCCTCCTGCCCAGGGCAGCGCGTTGGCGAGCTGAGAGGGGACCCGGGCCGCTCGGGACTTTCTGCTTCTCCCTCTGAGCTCTGTCCAGCCCTCACCTTGGTCCTGGAGGAGGGGTTCCATAGCCTGGCGGGGGGGTCCCCAGGACCAGATTCATGAGAGGGTACGAACCAGGAGAGAAGGGGCCCCGTCTCCACCAGCGCGGAGGCACTCCGGGAGCACGGGGGATGGCGTTGCTCACGCCCGGGGAAAGGCAGCCCTCGGTCGGCGGTGCCTAGAGGGTTTCCCGGCCGCCTCCGGAGATCTGTCCGCGGTGCTGACGGCGCTCCGGCTTCGCGGGCGCTGTCCGCGGTGCTGAGCACAGAACCGCTTTGGGAGCGCTGCCCGCGGTTCTGGAATCCAAGGCGACCGGGGCGCCCGCCCCGCTTGCAAGTGGAAGGGTTCGCTGGCCGGGGAGCTCCAGCAACAGGTTCCCTGGCCGAGAGCTGCGGGCAGTGGGTCAACAGGTGTTTGCGAAGGCAGGCTCATGGGGATTTCCCTTGATTACCTGAAACTCAGACCTTGCGTTTCTCACTTCGGCTCTGCCTCCCTGTCTCACCCTGACTCACCGTGTCTCCTCTCTCTGCAGGCACTGCCCTGGAGGGTCCCACAGGACTCCTCTCAGCTCAAGAGCTTGAAGACATCGTGGCAGCACTACCTGGGTTCCTGCTTGCGTTCACAGCCGAGGGGAAGTTGCTGTACCTGTCTGAGAGCGTGAGCGAGCACCTGGGCCACTCCATGGTGAGAACGGAGGGCCCTCTCAGCCCAGACTGGGGCATGGGTGGGGGCACAATAAGCTTCCCATTCCAAGAGTTACGGGGGAGGGAGAGAGGGACCATGCCCTACAAGACACTGTGGGCCAAAGACAGGTTCTTGCTGGCTCCACTAACGGTCATCTCCTCTAACCCTCCCTCCAGGTGGACCTGGTTGCCCAAGGTGATAGTATCTACGACATCATTGACCCAGCTGACCACCTCACCGTGCGCCAGCAGCTCACCCTGCACTCTGCCCTGGACACTGGTAAGGATGCCTCTTCCTTCCTCAGTGCAGTCTCTCCTCTGCTCCTCCATATGCATCCACCCTCTTAAAGGTTTTCCTCTTTACTCACATAGATCGTCTCTTCCGCTGTCGCTTCAACACCTCCAAGTCCCTCAGGCGCCAGAGTGCAGGCAACAAACTGGTGCTCATTCGAGGCCGATTCCACGCTCACCCGCCTGGAGCCTACTGGGCAGGAAACCCCGTGTTCACAGCTTTCTGCGCCCCACTGGAACCAAGACCTCGCCCTGGCCCTGGCCCCGGCCCTGGCCCTGCCTCACTCTTCCTGGCCATGTTCCAGAGCCGTCACGCTAAAGATCTGGCCATTTTGGACATCTCTGAAAGGTAGGTGTGGGATGTCCCAAACCCAGAAGGCAGGCAGGCCAGCCATGAGGGGACCCTAGATTCTGGAGTCAGGGGCAGGGAGGATGGGGCTCAGGAGGGCAGAGGACCTGGGAGGGAGTGAGATGCACGGGTATCGAGCAGGGAAAACAGAAAGCTGACCTCAGCCTTTCCACTTTCCCAGTGTCCTAATCTACCTGGGCTTTGAGCACAGTGAACTGCTCTGTAAGTCGTGGTACGGACTGCTGCACCCCGAGGACCTGGCCCATGCGTCTGCGCAACACTACCGCCTGTGTGAGTGTCCAGAGAGGCCGGGGACAAGGCAGGGAGATGGGAAAGGGCGTGGCCAAGAGTGGGGACATGCTAGAGGCCGACAGCTATGGATGGTTCAGGGTGAAAGTCAGGGTGAGGAGTTAAGGCAAGAACAGACTCAGAACTGGGGGACTCGAGCTGAGGGCGCATGTCAGGGTAGTCAGAGGCGAGAACATCACGGCCACCTCCACACAGTGGCGAGGGGCAGGGTGGGGAGTCCAGGTGGTGCCGCCCGGTGGGCATCCTAACTCTGCTTCTCTTCTTCCTCCCCAGTGACTGAGAGTGGAGATATTCAGGCGGAGATGGTGGTGAGACTGCAGGCCAAGTCTGGAGGCTGGGCGTGGATTTACTGCCTGTTATACTCAGAAGGTCCGGAGGGGCCCATTACTGCCAATAACTACCCGATCAGGTGAGCGGCAAGGCAGGGTTCTGGGGATCAGCTGAGATCGGCACGGAGGAGACACAATCAGGGAACTGCTCGGAGAATGGACACCAGACCCTTACCAGCTGCCTCTTGTGTTCTCTCCAGTGACTCGGAAGCCTGGAGCCTCCGCCAGCAGCTGAACTCTGAAGACACCCTAGCGTCCTACATCCTGGGCGCCCCGGCCATGCCGCCCTCGTTCCCTGAGAACATCCTCTCCCAGGAGCAATGCTCCAGCCCTAACCCGCTCTTCACCCCAGCCTTGGGGGCTCCCAGAAGCACCAGCTTCCCCGGTGCTCCTGAACTGGGCGTTGTCTCCACATCAGAAGAGCTTCCTCAAGCCCCCAAAGAGGTGGACTTCAGATACCTGACGTTCCCTTCCGGGCCTGCGCCTTCTCTCCAGGCAGACCTGAGCAAGGACCTTGTGTGCACGCCGCCCTACACGCCACACCAGCCCGGAGGCTGTGCCTTCCTCTTCAGCCTCCATGAGCCCTTCCAGACCCACTTGCCCGCCCCGTCCAGCTCTCTCCAAGAACAGCTGACTCCAAGCACCGTGACCTTCTCGGACCAGTTGACGCCCAGCAGTGCGACCTTCCCGGACCCACTCACCAGCCCACTCCAAGGCCAGTTGACCGAAACCCCGGCCAGAAGCTACGAGGAGCAGCTGACTCCTTGCACCTCCGCCTTCCCTGACCCGCTGCTTCCGGGCACTGCCACCTTCCCGGAGCCCCTGGGCAGCCCTGCCCGTGAGCAGCTGACTCCTCCCAGCACAGCATTCCAAGCACACCTGAGCAGCCCCAGCCAGACTTTCCCGGAGCAACTGAGCCCCAATCCCACCAAGACTTACTTCGCCCAGGAGGGATGCAGTTTTCTCTATGAGAAGTTGCCCCCAAGTCCTAGCAGCCCTGGTAATGGGGACTGCACACTCCTGGCCCTAGCCCAGCTCCGGGGTCCCCTCTCCGTGGATGTCCCCCTGGTGCCCGAAGGCCTGCTCACACCCGAGGCCTCCCCAGTCAAGCAGAGCTTCTTCCACTACTCCGAGAAAGAGCAGCACGAGATCGACCGCCTCATCCAGCAGATTAGCCAGCTGGCTCAGGGCATGGACCGGCCTTTCTCGGCGGAGGCTGGCACCGGCGGACTGGAGCCACTGGGAGGGCTGGAGCCTCTGGACTCCAATCTGTCCCTGCCGGGGGCTGGCCCCCCGGTGCTTAGCCTGGACCTGAAGCCCTGGAAGTGCCAGGAGCTGGATTTCCTGGCTGACCCTGATAGCATATTCCTGGAAGAGACGCCCGTGGAAGACATCTTCATGGATCTCTCCACCCCAGACCCCAATGGGGAATGGGGCTCCGGGGATCCTGAGGCTGAGGGCCCGGGAGGGGCCCCATCGCCTTGCAACAACCTGTCCCCAGAAGACCACAGCTTCCTGGAGGACCTGGCCACATACGAAACCGCCTTTGAGACAGGTGTCTCAGCATTCCCCTATGATGGGTTTACTGATGAGTTGCATCAACTCCAGAGCCAAGTTCAAGACAGCTTCCATGAAGGTGAGTCCAGCCAGAATCTGCCTCACATCCCTGTCCCGCCAGGGAGGTTCTGGGGGTGGAAGGGGGGGGGGATGAGGTGAATCAAGTCCCCTCCCTGTACCCCAGTTTTATGAAGGGGATGCTGTTATCTGCTGCCAGGCGTAGCAGAGAGGATAAGGAAGAAAATGAAAAATTTAGCTGGCCAGTTTTGGACAAGTGGGCCCGGCAGGCAGAGGTGAGGGCTGTGGCATCAAATGCCAGAGAACCCTTGGTGGCCGCTTGTGCTTCTTAGCTCCATGGGACCTAGATCAGTGCTCTCCCCCCATTCTACAGACGGGGACAACCAACGGCCCGGGGTTGAAGAAACTCCCCTGTAGCCACACAGGTTGCTGGGACTGTTAGAGCTACGCCCCAGCGTCCTTGTCCTCAAGAGGCTATAGACCGAGAGTTTACGGAGAGGAAAGGTAGAGGGTGAGGCTCAGCCCTTGGGCCTGGTGCTGTGGGCCCTGCTTGGGGCCCCATCCTTGCCACAAACACAGCCATGACTTCATCCCATCTGTCCAAATTCTCCCCTTCTCTGCTGAGCCTCTGGGAGGTCCTCTGGTTGCTGGGCCCGTGTAGTTGAGGTCCCGTCCCCACCACGTGCCTCAGCCCAGGGCCCTTTCCTAACAGACCAGGCTGACCGTCTCCCTCTGCATCTCTCTCTCTCTCTGCAGATGGAAGTGGAGGGGAATCAACGTTTTGAATAAGTCTGTGACTTAACGTCGTCAAGTATGGCATATTGTCATCAAGACGTGGAGCCGCTCTCCACCCCCCCGGGACTGTTGGGGGGATTCTGGGGGCCAGAGGGGGGATTTGTCCGATTCCCCAGGCCCTGCAGGATTTTGGGGGGGGGGGAGGTGGGAGGGCAAGGGAGGGAGCTTCTTTTTAAAACCAAGAGACTTCCAGTGATCTCAGTTTCCAATTCAATCTGTATTCACTCGTAGTGAGTTTCCTTGAATGGGATTTCAAGCGGAGAATGGGGGAGTGTCACTTCCCCGCCGCGCTGCCCCATGGGCCTGGGCCAGTTCTCCACTCCCAGGGGCCAAGCACCCCTGGGCCTCAGTGGGGGAAAAGCAGGGCCCACCCGGGCGAGCCTGTGCCCCGAGGGGCTCTTGACACTCACGTAGAATTCTCTACACACCAGTAACGGGATTTCAATTCCGACGGACTCGGCCGCCCCGGCGGCTCTTCCTGTGACTTTTGCGCCCCGTGCCTGGAGTGGGGGGCGCGAAGAGACGCTACGTTCCTTTCCGATGGAGGAAGGCAGACCTGCCGCCACACGTGCGCTTGCACGAGTGCGTGTACCTGGTGCGGGACTCACCCGGCCGCCAGACCGCCTGGGCCTGCCCGGGCGGCCACCTCGTGGTGCTGCGGTGACTTTGTAGCCAACTTTATAATAAAGTCCAGTTTGCCTTTTTGGTACCCTGGTGTCACGCACTGCTGTGGGAAAGGGGATGGCGGTGGGGCTGAGAAGGTCGGGAGGCCCAGACAGGAACCTGGGCGTCGGGAGTTCAGTCTGGACCTGCTCACAGCCCTGGCATTCCTTCATTCCCTCATCCCCTCATTCATTCATTCATTCATTCATCCGCTCAGCGTGTGGCCGGCACCATGCAAGAGGCTGGAGAGCCTGGTGCTGGGCAGGAGGGGGCAGAGGGCCTGGGGACGGGCAGGAGGCTTCTGCTTGGCATTGGCCCTGGACATGGGTTGGAAGCTTCTGGGCAGGGGTCTGCCTTGGCCTGGTCCTGGCGGAAGTGGCTTCCTGCTGGGGTGCAGGTCTTCCCGTGGCACAGGGCTTTCAGCCAACAGACACTTCTACCTCCCTCATTCCCGGCAAGGAAGGCCCTGGGCAGGCGTATCAGCCCCATTCCACGGCTGTGGAGACGAGGACCACAGGCACAGGTGCTCCACACCCTGTAGGCGGTGAGAGGCGCAGGTGGGCAATGCACTCACCTCACCTGCGACCCAGCCCTGGGCTGTCTTCCTGCTCCTGACACTGGTGAACCGCATCATCTCAAACAAGCCCCCAAGGGCAGGCTTGGGCCAGAGCAGGGTCCTCTTCCCCAAGTGGGGGGCGCAGAACCCCCTCTTTTCGGGCCCTCCATGTCTGTGAGGTGGAGCTCATGGGATTGAGAAAAGAAACTTCCCCCAAACGCTGTCTTCCTCCAAGCTTGAGTGCCCAACAGGCCCAGAGTACGATGCAAATGAAGACCGACCGAGACCTGGATTCCAATCCCACCTCCAGCAGTGGCTGGCAGGGTGGGACCTGAGCCCCAGGGTCTTCACGGGGATGCAGGGCTGGCAAAGACGGCCCTGGGCTCCCCAAGATGTGGATAGGACTTGCGGGGGTGCAAGAAGAAGGCAACAGACTTCACGGTGACCCTGCAGGCTTAGAGGAGGTTTCCTGTGCCTTTTTAAAAGATGTATTTCTTTGTTTGAAAGGCAGAGCTACAGAGGAGAGGGAGAGAGATCTTCCACCTGCCGATTCGCTCCCCAAATGACTGCAACAGCCAAGGCTGGGTCAGGCTGAAGCCAGGAGCCAGGAGCTCCTTCCAGGTCTCCCACGTGGGTGGCAGGGGCCCAAACACTTGGGCCACCCTCTGCTGCTTTATCCAGGTGTGTTAACAGGGAGCTGGATTGGAAATGGAGCAGCTGGGACTCGAACCAGCACTCATATGGGATGTCAGCGTTGCAGGTGGCAGCTTAACCCATTGTGCCACCAAGAAAGTTTCTTTCTCAAAGAAGGGGAGGAACTTCCGGGCTCCAATCTTGCATTAGTGAAATATAGGGTCTGGAATGTGGTACTAAGAAATCCCCCGGACCTTCCTCCAGCTCAGGGCCATACCATTCAGTGGGCCCCACGGGAAGGGAGACACCCCTGAGGGCCTGTGACCCCTTTCCCGCCTTGGATGGGGCATTAGGTGAACAAGAGGACAGGTCTTGTCTCTGGCCATCTTCACACATCTGTTCCTAAACTTGGACAAACTTGGGCCTCACCTCCAGGAAGATACGGTCTTGGTTCTGCTCCATCCCTAGCGCCGAGCACAGGCCAGCAGTGACAGCCACAGGACAACTGCATTACTGAGAGGACTTCAAAGATCAGTACAAGGATTGAGTAGAAAGTCATCGATTTTGGTGCAGCGGGTTAAGCCACTGCCTGCTGCACCGGCATCCCATCTGCTTCTGATCCTGCTCCCTGCTAATGCGCCTGGAAATCAGCAGGAGACGGCCCGAGTGCTTGAGCCCCGCACACGTGTGGGAGACCCGGGAGAGGCTCCTGGCTCCCGGCTTCAGCCTGGCCCTGCCCTGGCTGATGTGGCCATTTGGGGAGTGAACCAGAAGGTGGAAGATCTCTCTCTCTCTCTCTCTCTCTCTACCTCTCTACCTCTGCCTCACTCTCTCTGTGACTCTCCTTTCAAATAAATAAATAGAAAGTCATTGATTCCTACCATAAAAACTTGTTCTTATGTCCCCCAGAGGGCAGAGGGCTGTAACCTTGAGCTTCGAGTGTTAAGTGACCTGAGGTCCCATTTCAAAGCCTCCGGTGGGGTGAGGGGTGGGGGGAGTGTTCGGCGCAGTGGTTAAGAGGCTTCCCAGGACGCCCGCACCCCACCGTGGAGTGCCGGGACCGAGTCTCAGTCCTGCTCCTGATTCCAGCTTCCTGCTCAGGTGTACAGCAGTTCACAGCCCAAGCAGCTGGGTCCCTGCCGCCTGTGGGAGACCTGGGTGGGGTCCTGAGCCCTGGCCCAGCTCCGGCTGTTGAGGGCATTTGGGGAGTGAACCAACAGGTGTGTTTCTCCCTCCATCCGTCTCTTTCTGTCCTTGCACTTTTCAAATCAATACAAATTTAAAAACCAAAGTTCTCTGGGAATTGTCAAGAGCAGGGACAAAGCCTGAAAAACTGCACGGCCCAGGGGAGTCTCTCAGGCGGCTCAGAAAGGGACGGATGTCAACGAGCAGCTCCGGAGAAAGCACGGACGTTGGTGAACGGTAACCGTTGTGACGAGGGGACCCTCTGAGTGTAGGATGCTGGGGCTGTGTACGTGGGGCTCGGGGGCTCCGACGATCTTCCCGACTTTCCTAAATCTATCCTAAAATAAAATGTCTCTTTGGACAGTAAAAATAAACATTGAAAAGATCGCAAAGTGGCTCCAAATCAGCCCCTCTCTGGGATTTGGTGGTGGGGAGAGTGCTGGTGGACCAGCCGGACGGGCAGAGAAATCTGGAGAGCTCGTGGCGCCACCTGCTGGACAGAGAGGGGACTGCGTCTGTTCCATTCTGGCCGTGGCTCCGTGGGAAAGGACAAGACCTGCCCAGTGGCTGCTGCAGCCCGATCTGACCCCCCGGCCCGGGCCACCATCACCCACATCGCTGCCCTGGGGTCAGGATATACGAGAAAGGGCTGTTTTGGAGTCATTTCTTCACATGCTGAACAGAGCGACATCTGCACGGGCCAGGAGCTGTCCTGGGTGCTGCGCCCTGGGCTCGGAGCTCACGCGGGGAGATATAACCAAAAGCAAAATAAATCGTCTAAAAGAGAGCAGCGTGAGCAGAACGCCAGCGCGCCGGGGGCGGGGGTGGGCTCTAATTTCGAGCGAGGGGTCAGAAAGCCTCTCTAAGGAGGTGACATGGAACTGTGACCTGGGAGTTAAGAAAGGGGAAGAGGGGCCGGCAGACGCTCCTGGCTTCAGATCAGCACAGCTCCAGCCCTTGCGGCCGATTGGGGAGTGAACCAGCGGATGGAAGACCCCTCTCTCTCTCTACCTCTCCTTCTCTGTCCGTAACTCTGCCTTTCAAATAAATAAATCTCTAAAAAAGGGGGGGGGGTATTTGGAGGAAAGGAAGACGACCCAGGGCCTTTGGGCCCCGATAAGAACTTAGATTTCATGCCACGCTCGGTAGGAAGTCCCTGGAGGAGTCGGCAGGGGTCGCGGAGGGGCCGGTCCTGCTCACGCCCCAGCCCTGGCAGGAGGCGGGGAGGTCGCCCCAGAGTGCCTTTAGCAGGTGCCCTGGAGGTAAGCCACACAGATCTGGAATACTTCAGAGACAGAACTGACAGAGTTTGCTGACGGATTTGGAGAGAGGGGACTTCTAAGTTTAGTACCCGAGTGAAGAGCTGCTGTTTAGTTGGGAAACACCCGAGATGCGATGAGCTGAGTCTCGGGCATTCGCCGTGTCCTTGGAGCCTGCGGACCGGGTGAGGGCAGCGCAGCCAAGCTGTGGACGGGGCTGGTGCGGCAGCGCAGGGCTGGGCCACCACTTGCAACCCCGGCATCCCAGATCAGAGGGCCGGCTTGAGCCCAGCTGCTCTGCATCCAACCTGCACTCTCGCCAATGCACCTGAGATGGCAGAAAGCATGGCCCAAGGACTCGGGCCCCTGCCACCCGTGTGGAGCTCCTGGCTCCTGGCTTCGGCTTGGCCCAGCCCTGGCTGTCGTGACCGTTTGGGAAGTGAACCGCAGATGGGAGATCTCTCTGTCTCTCTGCTGCTACCCCCCTTTGTCTCTTTGCCTTTCATATAAATAAAGTTTTTAAAATACTGTCAAAGGCAGAACACAACCAAAGACAACAGGAGCTCGGGAAGCCAGGAGACAGCACGAGCGTGAACAGCCGAGGGGTGCAGACGTCACTGTGGGGTCAGTCAGCCGCTGATTGGAAAACAGTCACACGTTTCAAGATTCAAGGAACAAATTACACACTTAACAATACCTGCAGAGAGCACGAAACTATAAAAGTGGTAAAGCAGATTCTAAAAAAAAAAAAAAAAAGAAGCTTCTAGGCATTCAAGACTTAATTGAAAAAATGGAGAATTAGAACAGCCAATGTATGTGAGAGCCTTATCTGACATATTTTTATTTTTTAAAAAAAGATTTGTTTATTTGAGAGTCAGAGTTACACAGAGAGAAGAGAGGCAGAGAGAGAGAGAGAGAGAGAGAGAGAGAGAGAGGTCTTCCATCCGCTGGTTCACTCACCATTGACTGCACAGGCCAGAGCTGAGCCGATCCGAAGCCAGGAGCCAGGGGCTTCTTCCAGGTCTCCCACGTAGGTGCAGGGACCCAAGGACTTGGGCCATCTTCTACTGCGTTCCCAGGCCATAGCAGAGAGCCGGATTGGAAATGGAGCAGCCGGGACTTGAACTGGAGCCCACATGGGATGCCGGCACTGCAGGGGCGGCTTTACCTGCTACGCCACAGCACCAGCCCCTGACTTTTTTTTTTAAGATAAAGATTGATTTATTCATTTTGAAAGAGTTACAGAGAGAGAGAGAGATTTTCCACCCGCTGGATCCCTTCCCAGATAACTGCAGCTGCCAGCACTGGTCCAGTCCAAAGCCAGGAGCCAGGAGCTTCTCCCGGGTCTCCCACGTGGGTGCAGGGGCCAAGCACTTGGGTCATCCTCCACTGCCTTCCCAGGCCACAGCAGAG